ATAAAGTAAGGAAACTGGCAGTGGTGAAGCCGTTCCTACGACTCAGAGACAGACAATATAAAGACAAAGGTCAGTTTTACTTGATCCAGGCAGGCAGGGTCAGAACACCAGGTAATAATGCTGCATTTGACACATGAAGTTGGATTTTGTTCCCAGTCGGAAATTTCAACTGGAACGCCGCCTTAAGGAGACAGAGTGTTACACACTTCTCTGGGCTTCAGCTTTTACCAAAACTCCATAGTGACGGCGTCTGCCCCCAAGCAGATGTTGAAAACAGTAGAAGTATTGGCTCCGACACTGTGGAACGCTCTTTCTTTAGACTTACGTTCCTCAGTCTCTTCACGCCTTTAAAAAGCAGCAGCAGACTCTTTTCTTCAAACTGGCCTTTGTCTCGCCTCGTGCTGTTTAGTGTTTGTAAGTCACTTTTACTATAATAAACCAGACCACCATCTTTCTCTGACCTTAACCAGCTGCTGCCAGAGTCTTAGTCAAGTTTAATAATACTGAAAGCAGATGTTGTATTTTGCAAGATTGAAGAACAAATCAGGGAACATTTTACTCTTACGTTCAATATCAAAATTTTTGTGACTTTACTTTTTTACAGTGTGTTACCAGAAACTAAATCCAGTCTGTGTTACGTTTCCTTCAACATGTGTTTACTGTGGCACATTAGTTGTAAACAAACTTAATTTCTAGGAGACAAGTTAGAGCAGTGAGAATGGACATTTTGTGAGTATAAACCCTTGAAATGAATAATATCTACATCTTCATACGTTCAAACAGGAATCTTTCAAGAAGGTGAGAAGAGAAGATGTAAATGTCACAAAGACACAACTAGTTATTTAAGCAGAGTGTTTTTATCTGCTTTAAAACACGTCTGGTTGTTAGACCGGTTCAGAAGCAGCTCTGCATGACGACTGTTGGAGCCTTTAGATCTTTTTCACAGCAGACGTGTTTAATTGTCAGGACTCTGAAACTGAAGCAGCTAAATGGAATCCAGCCATCATTAATTGTTTTGTTTTTTATCTGTGTTTTTCCTGCTGTGCTGTGTCAAAATGTCTTCTATGAAAAAAACAGATGTGTGTGTTTTGGTCAGGTTAGTATTGAATCTGGATATTTTCCCCTTCAGGCCAGTAGGGGCTGATTAATGTTATTGTGCAGGTCCTGACTGGGACATAATATAATGCTCCTGAACACTGAGTTGTTTTAGATCGAGGGAAGTTTCATCAACTGCAACAAGTCAAACTTTAAGTTCTCTGCATCTCACACTGTGAAATCATCTGTGTCAGGTTAGTGTTTGTTTACTGAAGCCATTACTACATTGAGCAGCTGTTTGAGGACATTACTGAGCTTTTGGGTTAGGGGTTGGGGGTATGTTGATGACTCTCCCCATGTTGCCCGACGACTCCACAGTTTGGGACAGAGAGCCAAAGGCAAGTTTACAGGCCAGCACATGTCACTCTGAGCTCTCCTGGCAGTGTGGAGAATATGAGTCTGTTAAGTTTAGGCATTGAGCTGTGATGGTTATGTTTAGTAGAAACCCACCGGTAAGGAGACAGATCCCATGAGTGCTCCTAAGAAGAACATTGAATCGAGCAGGCGGCACTGATCGGGTATTTACAAGGTTCCTAACTGAGTGAAATGACCCGGAAGTGTTTAAGTGGCAGCCACGATAAGAGCGGGCTGAATTCTCTAAATGCATTTAAAGCAACTCACTATTGTAGTTTCACTACGACAAACGCACATAAATGTGCTGGAGCATCTAAAAAATATTAGAATATCTTGGAAAAGTTCATTTGAACTGAACCAGACTGAGAGATTAAAGGATCAGGAAACATTTGCAGGTGTTCTGAGTTAATTAGCTGATTAGAGCTCTTCTCAGGTCGACTTTTCTCTATTCTGAAGTCTTTATTCTAACTTTTTGAATTGAATAACAGAAAAAAATTAACTTTTCCGTGACATTCAAATGTTTTGATGCACCTGTAGAAACAACAGAGCATCTATTTAACAAATGTATAAAATATCAAAAGCACCCATCCCAGGAAACTCTATATTTATGTTTGAGTATAATTCACTCAACTTTCTCTACTTGTATATTGATTTTGTTATTATATTGTGTCAGCATTTTAATCCTTTTTGTTTTTTCAGCAGTATCTATGTTGTTGTTACTTCCTATGAGCAGCCTAACTGATGGTTAAATGTACCAAATGAAACATCCTTTCTTAGGAGGTGTGATTCTGTGTTGGACAGGAAACCTTTTGAAGTGAGCAGCATTGAGTTTGTCACTGTACTCATCTTCCGCGTGTTATAAATAAAGTTGGTTAAAAAGAAGCTGGTGTAAGTGCAGCCTGGTTCTCTGAGCACCGCGGTTGTCTTTTATGAATTCTCCTTCACATCTTTCCTTGACCTCATGACGTTTTCCATCAAAGTCAAGGAAAAGTGTTTAGGAAAGGACAGAGGATGGATTTTTTTTACCATTACAATGTTTGTATTTCATGTTTTATGGTTTTATGTTATGTTGACAAACGTGACCACAGTTTCCAGGTTCAGTTCGTCCACAGACACATTTTAAATCTCCAAACATGCTGAACAAAGAACAGCCTGAAGATTATTGAAATAATTATTGATTACATGTAACAGAAATCAAAAGTTTGTGTCTATAACCATTGACATTGCATCCATATTATAAAGTGAAGATCACTGGAACTAACTAGTAATGACTCAAGTGTTACTACATGATCTAGTCATGATTTGTGCAACCAAACACTAAAGTCATTTCAAGCGTTTGAGATTTTTGGTGAACTTTAGTATACTTTTAGAAAATGTCTTTAGTAACACTTGTTACGTGTAGCGTATATAGACGTGGTCAAAGTACTAGGGAAGAGGGGACTCAGCTATAGGCATGTGGAGAATGAGGCTGCATACACTTTGGGTGATAACACTATCGATCATGGTAACTTTCTGGAACTGATTGTGTTATTAGGCAAGTATGATATGTGCCTTAGAGAACATTTGAATGACTGCATTGAGAAAAGCAAGAAGTTGCATCAGTCCAGTGGATCAAGAGGTAGAGGGTCTCTCGTCACCCTACTCTCCAAAACAACTGTCAACTCAGTGACTGATGCAATTGGCCATTTCATTCAAGAGAGCATCACCAGTGATGTCCAGAGAGCTGGGATGTTCTCTGTTCAGCTGGACACAACCCAAGACATCACAGGTTATGATCAGTGTTCAGTAATTATCAGGTATGTTACTGAGGCTGTGCAGGAGAGGCTTGTCTCCATAGTGAGGTGCGAAGCATCCACGGGGCAGTACTTTGTAAACTTGCTTTCTGGAGTTTTAGAGCATCTGAATCTGGACAAGGCCATGTGCATTGGGAATGCAACAGATGGTGCTTCAAATATGCAGGGCCAGTACAAAGGCTTTTCAGCACTTATGACTGCCCAGTCTCCAACTCATGTGCATGTGTGGTGCTATGCACACATACTTAATCTTGTGCTTGCTGACACAACACAAAGTGTCATTGAAAGTGGATCACTCTTTAATTTACTTAATGACATAGCTGTGTTCATCAAGGACTCCTGTCACAGGGTTAATCTGTGGGAGAAACAAACCCAAGAAGAGACAAGACACAGACGCCTCAGTCCAATAGGTGAGACACGGTGGTGGGCCAAGCATGATGTCCTCCAAAAAATCTTTGGACATTTTGGAAAACCAGATGATGGCCTCTTCATTGATGTAGTGCTCACGCTGGAAGCCATTGAAAAGAGGGAAAAAGAAAAGCCAGCTGTTCGTGCCAAAGCACAAGGCTTTAAAGAGTGTCTCTTGAAGCATAAAACTGTCTTAACAGCACAGATATTTCTTAGAGTGTTTGAGCAAACAACTCCTCTGTCGAAGTACCTCCAGTCAACGGCGATGGACATTCTCTCTGCCCATCATATGGTGACTGCCACACAAGATAGCCTCAAAAGTATCGCCAGGGACTTCCCAACTGTGAAGGCAGCTGCAGACACATTTGTGAAACAGACAAATCAGAAACTCGAGGCGAGGGAGGACAACACAGACATGGAAGTGGAGGCTGCACTACCTGTAAAGAGAGCCAAGAAGAGAAAACGCATGGCCGGAGAGATGACTGAAGATGAGTTGCAGATCAATGCTGAGAAAACAACAACACCATCCTGGACACAGTTATTGAAGCAATCCACAGACGATTTGTCACAAATGGCCCTCTTGTTGCGGATTTGGCATGGTTGGACCCCAGGAAGTTTAGCCAGGTCAGAACAGTTTCTCTTCCTAGTAATGCACTTCAAAACCTCAGCACATGTCTCCTCAAATTTGACAGCAGGGCTACAGTAAATAACCTTCAGTCAGAACTGAAAAGTTTTGCAGGACAGTGGGAAAGGCTTAAGACATCACATGTAGATGACTACAGGACCAGAACAGCAAAGGACAGACCTGAAGAATGGGACGAAGAAAGTGAAATTGTGACCAAAAGCTGTGATTCTTGCAAAAATTGCCCACTGTGCTGCTATCAAATTCTCAGGCGGTTCAACATGCTGTCTGATGCCTACTGTCTCCTTGGGCTGGCATACAAGTACCTGCTGACCCTCTCTCTCACTCAGGTTGCCTGTGAAAGAACATTCTCTACACTCAAGTTCATTAAAAGCAGACTCCGAAGCAGCCTGTCTGGAAACAGGCTTGAGATGTTTATGCTGATGGCCACTGAAAAGGACATTCTCATGTCATTGGACTCCGACATGGTCATTGACAGGGTAGCTGAGAAGAGTGACCTGCTGAGAAAGCTGCTGTTGTAACCTGGTGGGGTGAAATAAAATTATCAAAACATTCCTAATTATGTTTCAGTTAAGATTAAATTCAACTTTATTGTTATTGCCTAAAAGTACAGTCAAATGAATAGGTTTTGTGTCTATCTTCACTTCAAACAAGTCACGTGCTCAGAAAATGCTTAGAATGTGTCCATCTTAACAGGTTTTAATGCATAAGACAGTAGATAGAATAAATATTAGATAATATAAATATGAGAGTTTTCTTACAGCCTTAATCTGTCATTGTTTCGTTTCAGACAATTTTGGAAGCCTGAAGTGGGTTCATTTTAAGTAAGTACTATATAGAATATGATTCAACCATTTCTCTAGAGTAAACATACCAGTAGTGTCATCGTCTAAAAAAACCATTAAGTGCAAGTCTTTCTCACCCTTCGCTGTCTGTCCTTTCTTTCTTAAAGGTTTCCATATGTTAAGATATGTTCAGTGTTGCTGCTGTGGAAGTGTTGTGGTTGACTTTTTATTGATGCAGTGAGTAAATAGTCTTTGGTGATACAATTCAATCACAATCTGTCCTTAATAGATTTTAATATTTATCTAATCGTTGTTCCTCTCTGTCCTGTTTTTTCAGGGTCTAATCATTCTTTAAGAGGTTCTCTAGACCATGCAACTTTTTAAGTTCCTACGTAAGTACTACTGTATATGATTCAGCTATTTTTGTGGAATAAAGATACAAGTAGTGTGATCATATGAGCAAGTCCAACAAATGCCATTGTAGCCCAGGCTTAATAATGAGAAACACTATTTAGCTGTCTGACCAAGTCACTAAGGGTTACCTTTTATTTTTCTCAGCATCTTTGATGGGCTTGTAAGTTAGCAAATGGGTGGACGTTATGATGCAGTGAGCTGACCAATCAGCTGCCAGCTATGTTCCGTTACAATTACGCCTCTCGGTCTCTGCACCTTCTTTTGGCGCCTGTACCTGAGCGTAGGAGGCTGCGTTTCCCCTCGGTAAGACGAGAAACGACATGGAGTGAATTAAACAAATTCTGTGATCATTATCGCTTATACTGACTATACCCTGTTGTAATATAGAGAGTAAATGAGAGCTGTGCCTGAATCCACTGTTGTCACGGAGCTAAAGGCGGTGAATTCTGCTAAAATGGTGAGTTGTTTACCTTGCGCTAGGCCTTTGAGTTCGCTAGCGTCCATGTTAACAGGACAGGCTTTTGAGGCCCATTTGTATTTAATCTAGCCTGCTGAGTTTACTGGGAGTTCGCTAGCTAATTGTGTAAAGCTAATGTGAGACTGCTGTATTCGTATGCTAATAGGGTAATTAACCACAATAAGCTAGCGGAATACTCTTTAATGCCTGTGAAAATTACAAATTATTTTGTTTGTGGATTATAAAAGGAATTGTTACCTTTCCATGTTGTTGCTAAATGGTTACTTTGAAAAAATAATGATGTTAAAAACTGTTGTTACTGGAAGTTAAAGAGGTAAATTTTTAGTGCATTCTTTCCACTGTTACCGGTGCAGAGGGGGATAAATGAGCACGCTAACACCTTAATGCCTCTAATTTGAAGTAATACGATTTGATCAATGTTTACATGCAATGCCTGCAGTTTATTTATGACACTGTTAATGTTACTTAGGGTTCATAAAACTTAGTGTTCATATCAAGGATGTAATTTTTGATGTACATGTACTTTTGATAATTGAGAAAGTCATACTTTTTATATATAAGAAGAAACAAGAAGCTGTTGTACAATGAGAGAGCGATTTTGATATTGCATTATATTCATTTTATTTTATAGTAGCCTGTAGCAGTCCATGTATTCGCTGAATGGTAATTGAGAGAAATGATTTGGCCTTGTTTATAGGTCAGGTTTTGGTAAAGAGTTGGAAGCCTTGTGCAGCTGAGATCCATTCCACGGAGTGATACCAATCTACACGTTCCAGACGTTTTTCCAGAGCTTTGTGGATTCCCAGTCTAGGTGGCTGGGTGGCGAGCCAACCGTGTTTGTGACTCTGACTTTAGACGGATTGCCAGGATCTTCCTCATCTTCATGGTGGTAGGACAAACACTAACACAAACTTAAAAGGGCCCCAACGGTGAGAAATGAACTCTTGTCAATAAAGGCAAGTGGAACTAAGGACGAACTGAGCTCAACGAAGTTAAAAGGAAAGTTTTTTTTGTGCGCACTTTATTATTTTAGTTTGTTATTTTTCATACCTGCTTTCTTATGTATGTACCATCCCTGTGTATTTAATACACTTAATGCAAACTGTCATTCGGGTGTGGTATTCTTTTTATTGACATTCAATTCTCAGGCTCTTAACAATTTAGTGACTTCTGATTCTGGTCCACATTGATGATAAGACTACTTTAGACTATTACACCTATGTACATTATTACTACCTCGTGATAAGGGTTACACCATTCTTTCTCACCCTTCTCTGTCCTTTTTACTTGTGTCCTGTTTTTCAGGGTCCCATCATAATTTCTTAAGAAGTAAGTACTGTATATGATGTCAGTATTTTCCAACATTTTCTAAATACTGTACCAGTACTGTGTAAAATGCCATCAAAAAGTCAATTAAGTGTTATTCTTTTTCACCTTTCTTTCTTTGTCTCCTTTCACTTTTTAAAGGCTGCCATGTTAAAAAAAATATTTTGTGCCGCCATGCTGTTTGTTGATGTGGTAAATAAATAGTTTATGAAAATACCACTAAATCTGTCATTTATTAATTTTAATATTCATTAATGATCATGTCTCACCTCTAGTCTTCTCTGTCTTAATTTCAGGTTTCCACCATGTGTTGTAGATAGTTCAGGAGGAGGTTAACTTGACCAAGCAGTCTTTTGTTTTCCTCTAATTACTGTTTAGAATACCAGAATAGGGAGGATGATGTAGGTTTAAGTTTATTAGATTGATACATATATACCAACAAGACAGTGTACATCGCTGTCAGAACAGCGTTTGTTTTCATTCAAAGGCTTTATGGCTTTGCCAATAATACTTGGTGGGCCGGTCTCTAGTCAAAATGCCCGGCCGATTTTTTGTCCAGCCCTGTCTATAACTATAATTTTCAGGACCAATTAGAGTTTCAGACCTTGGGAGTGAGGATTTTGTCTGTTTCTCACTTTGGGACAGACCTTTAAAAGAGTGTTTTAGGGTGAAGATTAAATAAGTTTAATTTCAATGAAGGTTTGGGTCATTTAGTTGTGATGGTTAAGAGTTAGGGACAAAGCTATACTGTGAGAGACAGAGAGAGCTCTCTGCTGGCTGTTGACTCCAGAGCGCCATCATGAGGTCAGTCTGTGTTTCTGTTTCTTTTGTTTTTAATTCAAAGAAATCTCAACATCTACTGAACAGACTGATATTTTTGCACATGAATTTAAATACTTCCAGTAGTGGAGTGTAACTAAGTACATTTACAAGTTCATACAAAGATGATCTAGTTAGTAATCCATTATGCTTCCTCATCTCTGTTGGGTCTGTGGTCATCTTTCCATCAGGGAGGTGGAGACACACCATTTGTTTTTTCAAAACTGACTTCTCTAAATTAAAGAAGGTGGATTGTGCATCTACAGGTGCATTTCAGAAATTTGAATATCTTGCACAAGGTATTTTTATTTTCATAATTTAAGTCAAAAAGTGGAACTTTCTCGAGTCAATCACAAATTTTAAATTCCTTCTCTAACATTTATTTTTTAAGTAACATTTTCACAACATTTTACATAATATTTGTTAAATTTGTTCTTGATGTTTTTCTTTATTGAAACAATGAACAAAAAAATGAAGCAACTGTTTCATTTAACAACCCATTTATTTTTCTTAAGTGAAGAAATAATTTTCTCAATAAAACATTTTCCAGCAAGTTTGCATGACAATACAACAAGGTATAGTTCACCCTAAGACTCATTTTGTTATCAATTACTCACCCTTTTGTCAATAGAAGGATTGGTGAAGTTTTGTTAACATCCGTGTTCTTCTGCGAGTTTGAGACAGTTTTTTTTCCACTCAACTGCAGTGAGCGGTATCTTAGCTTCAAACGTCCAAAAATACATCAATAATCAATAAAATGTCTCCATGCTGCTTGTCTGAGTGTCCTGTAGCTCACACATGCCAAGACGTTTGTAAAAAACATTACAAACGTGTGTTCAGCTTAGTTTGCTCTGCTGCTCGTCCCATGCGTGCTCCTTCCAACGCCACACACTACTAGTAACACTACTAACTTTCCATCCTAAACATTTGAAATAATTTCACTAAGTTTAGGAAGTTTAGAAATTTTGTCTTTGAATCATACAAAAAGGAGAAGACTGCCAACTGAGGAGGAAAGAGGAAGCGTTCAATCACATCCCCAATACAACTCTATGGGAAAAGCCCGTAACGGCAAAGATGGCGGTTATCCGCCCCTCCAGCTAAAAAGCCAATCATCTGCTTTAAACAGCCAAAACGAATCATATTTCAGCCAATCGTGTGGTTCCACTGACACATGCTTAGTAGAAGTATAACCGGTGGGGAAAAACTGTTTTTAAACATTATTTTGGGGCAAAGTCGTCAAACTTTTTCAGGGATTTTTATCATATTTTACTGCTGATTCTATTCATGTAGTTTTTATGTCCCAGTGACCAGTGAAAGCTCAGTTCTGGCTCTCTCCCCATTCATTCAGATAGGAGCCTGGTTTTGTTAGTATGAAATTGCTGCCCAGAAGCGTTGCCAAGATGGCTGCCGAGTGGCATGACTTGCCTAAAAGGACTTTGGTACCGATAACAGCTGAGGTTTGCACTCGCTTGTACACGCACAAACAACCTGTAGTAAATCTGGCCTTATGGACCTTATGCACAACTCTAGTGATTCCTGAACTTTATTTCCTGTCTCTCAGTATTGGAAACACTGAATAATACAGAGAAGAGAGGACAGAGGAAAGAGAGAAGGGAGGATGGACGAGGAGAGTGGAAGAAAGAGAAGGGGAGAGGAGAGAAAGGAGAAAGGAGAGGTAATCATTACCCCAAATTTCACTCTGGTTTTCATGTCAGGAATATGATTTAATTCACTGATATTTTAGATTTATTTCTTATGAGATATTGAGTTAATTTAGAGACTTTTAGGAATGCATTCCCACTCATGCACTGTGTAATAAGCCATATAGTGTTGTGGTGGCAGCCCGGCTGACGGTGAGTGTCCTGTTTTTTTTCTCCTTTTTATCAGTTATTCTGCTTTTTCCTTGGTTTTCTGTTCCCTGCCTCCCTCCCTGTGTTTTCTCCCCTGTGTGCTCTCTCTCTCTCTCTGCTCCTGAGCTCAGCCAACGACCCGCACCTGCACCTCGTCAGCCTACAACACCTGCCAGTAGTCGACCTCATCCCTGCCTGTATTTCAACCCCGGTTCTCCACTCTTGCTTGATCCTCGTTGCTCCATACCCGGTTCACTCACCCTCGTCCTCCGTTCAGTCTGCTGGGCTCGTCCTCCGGACCTCTCCTCTTCGGCTTCCCCCACGGCGTCCTCCCAGTTCTCCCTTGCATCCTCCCTTCCTCGGCCCCAGTGTTCCCTGGCTCCCGTCCGGTCGGTTTCTCTGTGCCAGTGTTTCCCCGGCATCCACCTCTCCCTCCACTCCAGTCCCTCAACCCCCTTTTCCCTAAATAAGCCTCCTTCGCTCAGAGTGCTGCGTTTGGGTCCTCTCTGTCCCCACACCACACCACCCTCGTAACAAATATTGCCTCTCTGAATCAAAAACAAGCAGAAAATTTTGAATCTGGAAAATACAGACAGAAATAAATCAAACCTCATCTGAACTAGATTTTCATATCAGCATAAAAGTCAGCTTAAAACTAAGAATGAGAGGTGCATAGGGTTTTAGATTTACCTTACATTAGCCGTTCAAATCATAAAATACAAAGAAATCTATTAATGCATCATACTCAAAGCTACTTTAATGCCAGGCATAATGGAGAATCATCAGATTGTCCTTTCAACTTTTGTATGCATTACATTTTATGCGGCGCAACTCATAACTTCACAAATCAAAATATATTCTGCTTCATTTTAATTTGGAATACTATGTATATTCTGTTGTTGTGGACTCAACCAGACGCACTTCAAAGAAGGTCAGATGGTGTCAAAAGAGGGAGGGAAGTTTCCCTCCCCGAGAGTTGACCTTTTTCACATGTAAAACCCAGAGGCATCGCCTGGTGTTGGTAAGGACCGAGAGAGACTCAATCAGACAATGAATCGCTTAAGGATTGTGTATTCAAAGAGCCTTAGTGAACCTTTCTAGCCGTAAAGGTGTCACTAAACACAGTCCACAGGACAGGAAAAGGGGCGATCTGACCCCTTCTCCCTCCAGCAGGTCACCTCCAGCCTCAACCTGACTCTTTTCTCTCCACAGAACGGCTGAGCCATAAACCACCATTTCATTCTCTGATAACCGGTGCGATAAGCCAGGAATGCAGAGAAGAGAGACCATAAAAACCCCCGTTACTCGAACCAAGCAAGGTTCCAGTATAACTGTGGAATGTCTACTCTTTTCTTGTGTGACCCGAGCGCCACCAAGGGGACAAGAAAGGTATAACACGCAAGTGTTTAAAACTCGGCTTACACTGACAGAATTGTTAAGTAGGCCTAACTATCACCATGTAATGGCATAAACGAAATTTTACTGTCATGCTTACATCTAAATTGTCTCATGAGTTAAAACCAGTAACCAGCAAGTATACTGAGGACATGTAATCAAGCTTTGTTACGTTTTATATAACCATTATAACCTTTTTCCATAGTGTTTAGCCTTGTTTTAACTGTCTTTATCCGAATGTTTAGAACTAAGTATTTTTCCAAATGTCGACATTGTGGAGAGAGAGATTAAAGGGAAATACGCGCAACGTATATTTCTTTATCCCAAAAGTTAACACCTTAGCGACGTTTGGGAGACCAACCCCAACATTGACGTCACTACCTAGCGGGATCAATAAAAAAGGACCTGCTGTCTTTTGTTCCAGCTTCTTCTTGCCTCTTCAAAACTCTTCTTTTAAACTTTCTTGAAACTAAACGTATACGTTCTCTTAACTCCCTTTACTTTTGAAATTCCGATTTTTTGTTTCGTACTTAAATCTCCTTCAGACGAGCTGAGAAAGCTACGACCCTGAATTCCAAATTTCTCAGCGGGAGATTTGATTTTCTTTATTCTGTTTGGAGCTGCCTGTTTAATCTCAGCAACATTAAATAGCCTATATTCCCGAGGCCTCGCGAACCTACGGTGAATGTGTGAGTTTATTTGATTTTGTTGTTGCAACCTCATCTGACCGTTGGGAGCAACTTTGGACCAGAAACTCAGAAGCCTTCATTTATGGCCTTGACTAAATGAAACCACGGCTCTGACGACAGAACCCTGAGTGGCCCTATAGCGACACCAAACGAACTGAGATCAGAGCAAAAGCCTTGGCTGACAGCCCCGTTGCTGCAAGCGCTTCCCACAAGAGGACTCCGGACCCAATCCACCGGTTTCAACCCAACTCGAAAACGCCACTGGGGTCGGGCCAAAACCGACTTCCCGAGCCAACCGGCAGTCGAGCCTCGCCACGGGCCTGCGGCAACGGTAGGGCAAAACAAACAACACTCTGTGACTCGTTGGTGTTCTATGGGCTCCATCCACAGTTAATAACCCTTAGATTAGTCAAACTAAATCTGCAACCCAATTTCGGTCATTCGTTCCCTCATACTCGTAGAATTCTCTCC